TCGAGTTCAAAAGACAAATTTTTACTTCCCGAGCGTAAGCAAAGGAAGTATTGTAATCGAGTCCGTCGGCCGACTCTCTACTTTTACGTTTTCTCGATCTTTCATGACCCCTAGAAGACGAAGAAATAGGTCTCCCATTTCCGTCTGTCTGTCCGTCTGTCCGTCTGTCCGTCTGTCCGTCTGTTGTCACGGATTTTTATTAGACAGATAATCTCCGAAAGTACTCGACCGATTGTTGTGAAATTTTGTACTTATATTAAGAATATCATGTAGATGGTAAAACGCTAACCAAAATTTGTCGAATCATCCCCACCACTAAAGCGATGACGTCACTTCAAAATTGTACATAGTAAATGGGTTTTCAATTGTATAAAATAACATAGTCCTATACATGTAGTTTACAACTCTGAATCGACTTTTCACCCGAAACGTCCAGATTTTTGGAAAAAAAATCAAAATTATAAAACAACATTTTGAAATTTAATTTTTAATCTGCTAACCAGAATGCTTTGAAATGTTGCAGATGTTTTAAGGCTATAAAGAGCATCATAAATCTTTAGTCAAAAAATATTTGCTTATCCCCTCCAAAAACTTGATGACGTCAGCTCAAAAGTTTGTGGAATAAATCATATCTAAAATGTACAAAATATGATGAGTCTGTACTTGTGAACTATCACTCCATTAATATTTTTTGGATTTGCATATACAGGGTGACTCAAAAAAATTAATGAATGCGTACATATATTTTATTGATTTAATCAGGAACTACAAAACCGAATGCTCTGAAATCTTGCAGATGTTTTAAGGTCATAAAGAGCATAATAAATGTTTAGTCAAAATATATTTGCTTATCCCCTCCAAAAACTTGATGACGTCAGCTCGAAAGTTTGCCGAATAAATCATATCTAAAATGTACAAAATATGATGAGCCTGTACTTGTCATTTATCACTCCATTCATATTTTTTGGATTTGCATATACAGAGTGACTCAAAAAAATTAATGAATGCGTAAATTTATTTTATTGATTTAATCAGGAACTACAAAACCGAATGCTTTGAAATCTTGCAGATGTTTTAAGGTTATAAAGAGCATAATAAATTTTTAGTCAAAATATATTTGGTTATCTTCTACAAAAAACTGATGACGTCAGCTGAAAAGTTTTCCGAATAAATCGTATCTAAAATGTACAAAATATGATGAGTCTGTACTTGTGATTTATCATTCCATTCATATTTTTGGATTTGCTTATGCAGGGTGACTCAAAAAAATTAATGAAGGCGTGAATTTATTTTATCGATTTAATCAGGAATTACAAAACCGAATGCTTTGAAATCTTGGGAATATTTTAAAGTTATTATAAGCATGGTAAACTTTTGTTCAAAATGTATTTGTTCATCCCTCCTAAAAAAATTGATGACGTCACCCTTAAATTTTGCTGAATAAATTCTATCTAAAATGCAAAAAATATGATGAGTTTGTACTTGTGATTTATCATTCCATTCATATTTTTTAGATTTTCTTAAGAGGTGGTTCAAAAAAATTAATGAAGTCAATTTATTTTATTGATTAAATTAAAGGCAACACTTATTATTAGTATTACACCCCAACCAACCCAATTTGGTAGACACAAAATTTGTTAAAGGAAAAACTCGGTTGAAACATAAGGGTAGCACGCTTATTTACATCGACTTTAACATTACAGACCTGCATTTGTTTTATGCGTTCACTTGATTCCGCGAATGTGAAATAGACATGTTTATAATCAACCAATTGTGAATTTCACCGTCAAGAATTAAAATAAAACCCAATGTTTTATATAATAAGCGGAAGTCGAAGCAATAAAACCGACGGTCGTTTTGTTTACAGTTTCTGTGTTTGGCTCTCACGTATGCTGTTACGCCTGTCATCTTAAATTAACATATTTTATACATACACGATTTTCAGTTGCCTCTGATACGTAGGTATACGTGAGTAAATTGTTTCGTTATTTTATTGATTATTACAAATCAATATTCAAACGACCCAATTCATTTTCCCGAAAATTTGAGAATATAATAATTTTATTCTTAGTATTACACTACATCTATCCCAACTGATATACGTGTCCTTGCAAAAATGTTGATGACGTAATCGCAATTTTTTTTTAAATTCCCACTACAAAAATGTAATGAGAAAAAAAACACAATAGGCATGCAGTCGTCAAGTTTCCGACAGCGAGGGAAGTACTGTCTAAACTCTTTAGACCATTTTTTTCTTTTATTGTTCGTTTCGATAAAAACAGGATTTGTATAAAGATATAGTAAATGCGCCTATATCCACTATGACCTGATTGCTTTTTATATTCAATGCTATAACAACAAAAGAAGTATAGTAATCGAGTCAATCGGGCGACTTGCCAGTTTCATGTTTTCTCGACGTTTCATGACCCCTAGAGTACGAAAAAAGTGGTCTGTTTGTCGTCTGTGTGTCCGCCTATCTGTCTGTCTGTCTGTCTGTCTGTCTGTCTGTCTGTCTGTCTGTCTGTCTGTCTGTCTGTCTGTCTGTCTGTCTGCCCGTCTGTCTGTGGCGATTGTTATTAATCAATTAGATGATGTTTACGCGTCTATCTTGATTTTGTTTAGTATTATTATGTTTATTTATTGTTTAATCCACCTTTGTCTTTACGGACAGGGTACACAACGCTGTCACAGCTAACGTGACTCAATAGTATCGTTTTTGCTTTAGAGATTCCTGACTCGACCGCTTGAAACTGCTAGGCGGCAGATCTTTTTTATCACGCTTTTATTAGCTTGGGTTGTATCTATGTATGTATGTAACGGAATCTTTGAGCTTAATTTTCATCGGTTTCTAAAAGTCTGATCATCTTGAAACTTTGCACACGTCTCAAGGATCGATGACAATGCAATAATTTGATAACAGTTTCCCATTATCCTTATTAGGACCGCCAGGATCCTCGATCCTACGGAGACCACTGAGTGGTTCTTTCTAGAAAAATCTAAATAAGTAATTAATTCCCCAATTTATGAATTTGTCGCAGACTAAAAAATGAAAAATAAATAATAGTTTAAAAAACTAAAAAAACACGCTTTTATTGCTAATCGAACTAAAAACTAGGAAATAATTTTTAATGACAGAGTTTAATATTACAGTAGTAGAAGATCAAACAATCAATCATAATAAATCACCTCAAATTAAAATTATAATAAAATTTAAGTTTTTAACAGAATAATTCAATTCAGAGTAAAAAGCGTGGGGTGCATTTTACTGCGGTTCATAACTATCCTCTCATAGATAGTTGCCAATAGAATGATTGTAATATTTAAAATATCAAGCACCCCACGCTTTTTACTCTGAATTGAATTATTCTGTTAATAACTTAAATTTTATTATAATTTTAATTTGAGGTGATTTATTATGATTGATTGTTTGATCTTCTACTACTGTAATATTAAACTCTGTCATTAAAAATTATTTCCTAGTTTTTAGTTCGATTAGCAATAAAAGCGTGTTTTTTTAGTTTTTTAAACTATTATTTATTTTTCATTAGATAAAATAAATTTAATAAAATTAATCAGTCTAATTTTTTCTTAATCAAATTAAGAACGAGCTATTTAAGAAGAATATAATAAGAATTATAACAATAATCTGAAACTTTTGTTCGACTGTCGCTCATTCAAATCAAACAAATTTCTATGTGACATTCTTTGGCTCCGGTGTCGGTTTGAGGACATAGGACTCCACCGGGAAATTTTTGTTTGGGTATTGTTATTACTGTTATTATTTTCAGTTTTTCTGGCGACATTGGAGTTTTGAAAAAATTATATTGTTTTTGGCATTTTGATGACGCTACAAAAAAAAAACAAAACTAGCAAAAAAATTGTGGAACATTATTTTGACAGAACTTCCTTCGCTCTTGAAGTATAAAGCCTTGTTTCCAATCACTTATACTTATACTTAGTAATTATAATTATAAGCTTGACAAGTGCCACTTAATGTAAGCGTTCACAACTGAATTATACTTAACGAATTATATTTAACAAATTATGTGACTACTTGTAATTAAGAAATTCTTGCAAGCTCCAAGCTGAACGTATAAGTACTAAGTGCACCAATCAGAAAAAAACATCGTGAGCATGCGTAGTTACGCACGTGTCTACTACGAAAGTATAACCTCATATTTGTTTAGATTTGGAGAGCAAAACGACATCGGTGTCAACGTATTTGTGTGGTCTCTGATCTAAAATTTACTATTCTAATAACAATATCCATCGTATATTATTTGGTAAGTAGACTATTACACTTTTTTGGTAGCTTTTTTACAAATACCTATATTTTACAAATTGTGTTTATTTTGTTTCAAATTAATAGTATATTAAAGAACGAGTTTCATAAGGCAAATATTGAGGCACGAATCCAAGTTTATAGAACGAGCGGCGAAGCCGCGAGTTATATAAAGGATGAGTGCCTCAGTGGCCTTATGAACGAGTTATTTATACTATTTTTTCTACCGCACACGTTTTTTCCCAAAATTTAATTGAAATTTGCATTTTTTTTAATCTGGGGACTTTTGTCGTGGTTGGTGATGGGTCGGTCTGACACTAACCACGAAATATTTGAGGTTCGAATTTTCACAACAACAATTGTAATTCGAACCAATTCGAGTTTTTGTAATTTAAAATTGGTTAAAATGTCTTGCGAAGAAGTTCCGCGTCCGGAAACATGGGAAATTTTAAGTTTAGATTTGCCACTGACATTCACCTGACATTTCTCGTCATTGCTGCCAATCTTACCGATCTAAATTACACCAGATCTATTAAAGAACGCCTTTCCGCTATTAACGAACTGCTGTGACGTCATTTGCGTGCGTTAATAGCTCTATTAGAAAACCAAAAAACGTGGACGGTAGAAAAAAGTGTTTTTACACATTATATTTCAGTATAATTCAAATATGAAGTGGACTTTAACACTATATACGAGTACTTTTTAGGTAAACTATAGTATGGATCAAAGCTTTGATGAGCAACTAATCTCCATCTTACCCCAATATCCTGCGATTTGGGATAAAAGTTCAAAGTTGTTTAGAAATAAACAAACAAAAAGTAACTGTTGGCAGGAGATAAGCAAAACTCTTGGCTGCACAGGTATATTTCACACAGAACTTTGAACAAATTTAATTTTTTTTTTTTTAGTGGAACGTGCTACATTCCGATATAAATCTCTTCGAGAGAAATTTAGGAGAGAAACTTTGATTCTCAGTAGAGAATATAAAAGTGGGACTAGCCCTTCTGGCCGAGAGGAATGGCCTCTATATGAGGCAATGAAATTCTTGGAAAGGCAAATAAGGCCAAGAAAGACTGCATCAAATATTCATGTAAATGAAATAGAGGAGGTGATGACAGTGTCTCAAACACAATCATCACTAGATACTGTCGACTTCGATGAAGATCAGGCACTGGATAACCAATACGAAGATTTATTGCTGCTTCCAGCAGCAGGTTGTTCAAATGTGCCGGAGGTAAACATTTCACCAGTTTCTGCGGCCATGTCAATGGCAACGCCAAGACAAAAAGCCAAAAGGAAGCAAGCAGATATTAGTAATGATGTGTCTAGCATTTTAACTCGACTTACTGATGTCGCAGAGAAGAGCGTGCAGGAAAAAGGCACCACCAGTGACTACCATCATTTTGGACAGTATGTTAGTGAAACTTTAAAGAAACTGCCAGACAGGGAAGCTGATTTAGCTATAGAAGATATTATGTCTGTACTGTTAACAGCCAAACGAAAGTGCAGAGGTGAAGCAACATAAAGCGATTGGTCATTTGTGATTTTTTTTTAAGAAAGTTATATTTACATGCTTTTATTACATAATTGTCAATATATTATTTCATAAGTTCACTGTTTTTCCTGTTTGCATAGCACGTTGGTTTTGCCATGGTAAACTTCCTGCTGGACTATTTACATAATCTTTTAACACATTCCTATACCTAAGGACATCTCCTGCTGCATTTCTTGCTCCTAAACGTTTTCCCGTAGAACAAACTGGTTGTAGAGTTGAATTTTGTGGGCAAAATTGTCTCCATTCTCCTAATTGTACACCATTTTCATCTTCTTGGTCAACGAAAGCACGATTGCAGTATTTTCTTTTATGGTCCAATAATTTATCCTCCCATCTTTTAATATAATTGTGTAAACACACAGTGGCTTTAATAATGCCATCTACATTTTGTGGCAATGCATTAATTGTTCTGTGAAAAATTCTCCATCTACTAACTAAAATGCCAAAAGCATTTTCTATGCATAAGCGAGCCCTAGATAAACGATAATTAAAGATTTTAGACGGAATGTCTAAATTTTTCCCTCCATAAGGTCTCATCAAATTTTTTTGTAGAGGAAAAGCTTCATCCCCAACAAAAAAAAATGGAAAAGGCGTTTCTTGGTAAGGGAGTGGCGCGTCATTGGGGAGATTTAATGAATTGTCCATTAATGCTCTTCCAAATGTTGACAATTTCAATATGCCACCATCGCTTTGAGATCCATATGCCCCAATGTCAACATATGTGAAAACATAGTCTGCATCACATACCGCAAAAAGTACAATGCTATATGTGTGTTTATAATTGTAGTAAAGCGAGCCACTCTCTGGTGGGCATTGAATTACTACATGTTTTCCATCCAAACTCCCACAGCAATTGGGCAGGTTCCACTTTTCAAAAAACCTATCTGAAATACATTTCCAAGTATTATTTGTATGTGGTTCCAAATATAGAGGCTGTAATGTACTCCAAAGGATTTCGCAAGTTTCTTTAATTATACGGTACACTACAGTTTTTGATATGCGAAAAGCAAAACTTAGTGATCCATATGAATCTCCTGTGGCTAGGAATCTAAAAATAACATCCAAATTGAATAAAATGGTATAAATATTGTATTATATATACCGCAGTGTTACAGCTAGTCGACAAGCTGGCTCTAAAGACTCACGTCTTGAGGATTTCTTCAGTTTGTTTCCCACTAGAGATAACAGATAATCAAATTGATCTCTAGTCATCCTTGTGTAACTAAAAAACATTTCAGGATCGCTTAAACGCATTTCGTTCATAAGATTATGAAAATCTCCTTTAGATTTCCTGCTCTGAAATATTGGTCGAACCCACCACCTCGGAGGTTTCCTGACTTTTCTAGAATCTTCATTCTTTTGGGTCAATGCACTTGCTACTAACAATCCAGCAACAGATAAAACAAAAGGGGTTATGTCTATATCCATAATAACTAAAAGAAAAACGTAACTTTGGCTTCAATGAAAGTTTAAAATTGATCACATACCTATCGGAATAAAGCTCTTTATACTTACTTTATAACTATTTATTCAATTGCTTATAATCAGTTAATAACCCATGTTAATAACCACAAAAACATTAAATTCTAGGTTAGGTAACAACATGCACAACAAGCTGTCAAATGTGTCGTAGTTGGTAAGGGAGGAGAAATGCGGCGTTTCGATTGGTCACCAACAATTTCTAAATTTTCAATTGGAACGGGTAAATTAAACTCCGGCTTGTTAAGTATAATTTCTTGAGTATAAGTTCTTAAGTATAATTTCATAATTGGTTGGAAACATAGTGTAAGACTGACAAATTCCAATCTCGGTTTTGTGGTACTGTTAACCTCAATAAATTGGCGTAATTAAGATCCCCGCAAGCCCTACGTCTTTAAATATGAAACATATTTAAAGCAGATAACTAACAGTAAAAAATGTAGACTCAATTTCTCTGGATAACTTCGACTGTTTATGTTTATACTTCGACCGAATTCGGCTATTAGCACGTTCAAGTTACAAGCGGTTAAAAGATAATGCAATCTGCTTGATTTTGTGTCCTCAACGCAGAGGAAAGGACTGATTAATTAATTCATACGCAGTGTTTTTCCAAAAACACTCCTAAATTTAAAAAAATTCAGCAAAAATGTAAAATGACGGAGAAATTTTGATTAACGATATACCATGTTTAATTAATCTTAAAATACTGGATTTTTTCCAAAAATTTGGATGATAAGGGTAAAAACTGAAGACGGACTCATAAATCACACAAACAGGAATATGTTACTTAATAAAATTTAAAGAACATTTGCTCCGCAGAATTCTAAGACGATGTCACAATTTTTTGGGAAGACCTTAAACGAACAAATTTTAACTAATGATTTACCATTTTTCGTATAACCTTAAAACATTTCAAAATTTCATACTTTCGCCTTTGCAATTTTAAAGTCAAATTATAAAATACCTACAATTTTGAATTTTTTCCCAAAAATCTCAATTTCTAGGGTAAAAATTTACCCTGCTTAAAATAATCTTAAAAATCTTATAAGTTTTCAGAACATTCGGTTTTACAATTTCAAAGTTAAAATGTAAAATGTTATACAGTTTCGATTTTTTCCCCAAAAATCTGGATGTCTAGGGTGAAAACTCGACACGGATTCATAATCCTATAAATTTAAATATATATAATACCAAAAACAAGGGGGTAAATCAGTAGTAAGTAAAATGGTACGTTTCACCCCACATTTGGTTTTTTAATTTATTATAAAGTTCTTTATCTTTTTTTTTCAGAAAACAGGCCAATTTTGACGTGAAGTTGTTTTTTTTTTTAAATGTCAGTCGGCCGTTTCTATATGAATCCGCTGAAATCATGGTCAAAATCTTTAGAAATCCACAACTTTTAAAAAATTACTTTAAAAATGGGGTGAAATGTTAAAAAAATGCATTAAAAAAAAATCACGACAAAAATTGACAAAAACGAACCAGTACCTTAAAATAGATGAAAAACAGATAAAAAAAATAAGGGTGAATCTTACCATTTTACTTTCTCCTGATTTCAATTATTTAGAAATTTCGTCTGATTCAGATGAGAATTGGATTTGAAATAACACACAGTACTTTTGGAAACGCCAAAATTTATATTTGGTAAATAATAAAGTAAAGAATAAATTCGGCAAAATTGTAAAACGATATTATTATTGTTTTAGAGGAGGATATCCGAAAAAAAAATTATTAACAATTTACCATATTTATGATAACCTTAAAACGTTTGCAAAATTTCAGAGCATTCGGTTTTACAGTTTCAATGTTAAATTGCAAAATGTTGCAATTTTGATTTTTTTTCTCCCAAAATTTGGACGTCTACGATAAAAACTCAACAGGGGTTCATAAACGACATATGCAAGAGTACCTTATTTTATAAAATTTAAATGATATTTATTACTGTAAATATATAATACACGATATTCATAATACACATATAAATTTTAACAATTGGTTCAGTAGTTTCGAAGATTATCTGTCTAATAAAAATCCGGGACGGCAGACAGACAGTGGCATAATCCGGTACTGTTTGGCTCCATAAACATAAACACTGGAAGTTAAGCATGTTATTATTACGGAAAGGACATTTTTTCCTCTTGGCTATCTGCTTTGAATATATTATACATCGTTCGTAGTTGATATTTGCGCCACCACGGCGCAGAGGCTGCGGGGATTTTATTTATGTCGCTGTTTTTTTTTTTTATAGAAGTTGACAAAACAAAAATCGCAAAATCACATTTTATAATTTTTCGAAGAAGCAGGATTAATTGGACTGTGTGCTTTTTCTTTGTTGGTTTCAGCCATTATTGTCTGTATGCATTTCTCTATTTTCTCCTCTGTCATTTCCACCCTTTTTCGATTGTTTCGATTTTTTCGAGTCAGACCTGACCTGATCTGACCTCACTTGGCCAAATTCCATATAGGGAAATAAAACGAGTTTGAATGTGATCATTGCAAATTGATCAAGTCAAATTTTGTACTTTGTGTCCAAATTTAAAATGCATGATTTGAAGTTTATCTATACCTGCAGTTTACGTTTAACTAATAGATACTTTCCAGCTGTTATTAACATTCCACTTACTTTTTCCAATAATTTTTTAAACATTTTAAAATTTTTAAACATTCTAGAAGCTTTAGAAAATTCATGTTCAAAATTTTGCAATACCCCTCGTATATCGCAGACCGAAAATCTTGCCGCAAAAAACAACCCAAACAGAGCCCATAAAATATTCAAAAACCTATCCTAAACCACTTAAACAAATGCAAGCACAATGAATCACTTTAAAAATTATGAACCGCGAATTTTTTCTTCCGTTCTTCTAGGAACGAAGAATAAGGAAGAATAAACCGAATTAACCTGTGGCAAGCCGGTCTGAAGCGCGTCTTTATAAATTTAAATGTAGAAAAAGCATCGACAATGGAACGACTTGATCTCAATTGACCTCACCTAGCTCGCCTAGTCTCGAACCTTAGCCAGCGCTCTGAGAGCTTCAGAATCTTGATTAGACTGTTTTGAATAAAAGCGATGCACAGTGTGATTGGAAATCACCTTGTTGATGACGTCACAGTGTTAATTATGCCCACTAACTATGTAGTATATGGTCTAGCTGCCGATGGTAGATAAAGCATCGTGGGCGTCGCGAGCGGACCTAATCGTAAGATCTGGCAAATTGGCCATGTCGTAGTTTAAAAAATCGTTTTATTGGTGAGGAATTCGCTTAGATGGCATTTCGGGCTAATAAATGTGAGCCGAGTCATTCTTCGAGCCGGCGGGGCGCATAAGTCTTCGTTTATACACATTCGGTATCAAAATAAAAGCAACAAAACCGTTTAAGTGATATATAGAGCTCTAAGTAATTGAAATAAATTGTAACTTTTCGTCCATTTCCGCCGAACTTTTTCTCTGCAATAGTGAAAGTTCATGTTTATTTATAAGAATGGCGCGTTTGGAATGGAAGTGGAGCTTTGTTTCCGGGTAAAACTCAAGCTAGATACTTTAAAAAGGGGGATGTACAAGAAAAAATGTACATGTGTGGAATTATATATAACAATGTGGATTATTACGAATTACTAGTACAAGATCATGTTATCAAATGCACCTGGACTCTAGTGTATAGCATTAGAATGTAAAGCATACGTGGGAACACAGTACGTATTCATATGTTGTATTATATGGTAGAACGTTGACGTTTATTAAATATAGAGTGTCCCTGCGAAAACTTCTGAGAGCGATATTTCTGCCATGGTGCCACATTTTTGACAACCAATAGCCTTTCTAGAGTTAAAAGCAAACATATGAGTAAAGCTCGGATTTATATGCAGAAAAAAACATGTAAATACTATGCGCATATGCGCAATTGCTAAAATATGCAAAAAATATATACAAAATATGCAAGAAAAATTACTTTTTTTTACACATTAATATTTCTTACAATACTAATAACTAGAGAGCGGATTTCTAGGTTTAATGCTTTTTGTGAAATATGTAAGCACTTCAAAACATTTTTATATTTGTAACTATGATACAATTTGGAGTCATTTGACACATTTTTTTTATGCTTATTTGCTTTTTTTTTCAATTTTATGCATATTAAAATTTATATGCTTATTTAATGCTTTTTTCGACGAATATGAGTTTTAATGCATATTTTGTTCAAATGCCCGCCTTGTCGGGATGACAAATACTTGTTAGTTAGCCGTATCGTATCGTATGCATTTTACCTGGACTTGACCATTGAAGTACACTTACTCAAGACCCTTTCTGTGAATAGGTTCCGGTCGTTTGGGTAATAAAATTTTATTATAGGATTGGAAAAATACTCCATAGACTTTATGACTTTAAATCCTTACTTCCGTTGATAATGAATTAAAACTTTTAACCAGATGTTCTTTTTCGGCATTTTGCGGCAAGACCGTTGAAGATTTTCTAGAAAAAAGGATTATTGTACCCAACTACCTACCTTAAAATTTTTCTAATGGAAACTTTTAAGTATAGTGAACCAAGAGTTATAAGGTTATATGTCCATCATAAAATCATCCCATTGTGTCGAAGTTAAGTTGTTTACAATAGAAAAGGTTTTAGGGTCGTAAATAACGTGTCCACTGCAGCTCGACCGGCTCTTGTGGTTTCGTTCAGGGGCGGCTTTCACTAAATATGAAAATCCACCACTCCACTATTTCTTTACTACCTGCAGCCGCTGAGGGTTCCGAAATAACCACTCGCTTTGAAAGTCGGCCCTGTTAAATATGAGCAAGAAATGTTTAGAAGATGATTTATTGCCAACCGGTAAGTTTAGTGCGAACCACACAAAGGGGGTATTTATTTGCTGTCAACTACTTTTATGATGGCCATATAACCTTATAGGTCTTGGTTCACTATAAATGAACCGTTTATTTCACAACCATCAGTCTATCGCATCTGTCGTAGTACAGTGTTATATGTGGTTCTCCTTTGTTACATGTTGAGTTCTTTTTGGTAATATTACTAGTATTTTAAAAGAATGCCGAAAGTAAAATCGACGCCGGATGAGTGGATAAGGGATTTTCCAGAATTACAATTAGAAAACAACAAAATATTCTGCAGAGCTTGTGTGAAAACCGTAAGCCCACTATTTTTTTTTTATCTATTTTCTTTTGTTAATCCTCTATATGTACGTTGTTTTAGATTCAAAGTGATAAAAAATATAACGTGACGCAACATGTCAGAACGACTCTTCATGTAGAAAGGAAGAAAATGTTTGAAGTTTCTAAAATTAAACAGCAGACCATACA